AATTCAAACGTAGAGTTTCAAAGGCGTTTGATTCTGTATGTAGTCGTTGATTCGACAAGTGAAGTTGTGGAAGATCCTTCGAAGGGATCAGTTAGCAATGAAATACCAGAATGCATCATGCAGGATGTTTCTGAGGGAGTCGACCAAAGTAACCAAGAGGGGGAACAAGTACAGCCAGCCATCCAGTTTGGCTCGTTTCCCCCAGTATCAGTAAACATGGTACACATACTGCCACAAGAATTTCAAGCTGGAGATGAGAATCAAGAGGGGCAGGAAGCTGATCCAGTTCAGATCTCTAGTGAAGACTCACAAGCAAGTATGGTGCAAGATAATTTCGAAATGGTTACCCCGATGGAAGATCCAGAATTCGTCAGATTGGCTCAAAATGGTTTGGAATTCAGGCTTCGAAAGAAGTTTGATTCAACTGAATTCAGAGATTTGGTCGAACTGACCTATAAGGTGTCTCGATATGAAGCATTATTAGAAGAGGAACAAGATCGAAATAATGCATCATATAAGACATATTATAGAGATCCTAATTATGAAATAGATGCAGCAGAGATTGTAGGCAAAGAACCTGTAATCTGTGAAGCATTAATTCATAAGGATACAATTATAGACCAGCAGTTTAAAAAGAAAGACTTTCACAGAAAATACTCTTTCGATTTAACAAAAGCAGATGACATCTTTGATTATTTGCTCGCGGCTAATTTCCTTAAGTTACTTAAAGGAGTAAAACTACCATCTCCAGATGAACTGAAAGGAAAAGTATACTGTAAATGGCATAATTCTTGGTCTCACTCGACTAAAAACTGCATTGTTTTTCGAGACAGGATCCAAGAACAGATTCGAAATGGAAGTTTGAAGTTCTCAGCTAAAACAGAAAAAGCCATGGGAATTGACAGTGATCCCTTTCCAGAAGTTGGAGAGGCAGCAGCCAATGTCATCACATCAGACTTTCAGAACTTGTCCTTGACAGAATTGGAGGAAGTCAATGTGCAGATGCATGTTGCTAATCAAACCAACATCAAGAAGAATGCTAGAGGCCCACCAGTTATTGAACAAGGTTTCTCGCACCAGAAGGAACACTCTGATGAAGAATCACTGGATGATGATTCTTTAGAAGCAGCGGTGATGCAGAGAATGTGCCCCAGGTGCAGACTCAGTTACAAGTGGTTGAAGGGGCTCACAACTGATGGGAAGCAATACTACATGGATGTTCAGAGACGTCCTAAGTCAACCAATGCTTACAACAAAAGGCCGTATCCGGCTAGTGATAGGCAGAGACCACCAGTGGTTGAGCCTGTGGTGAACAGAATGCATGACAAAGGCAAGAAGCTCTTGCATGAATCCAGGCCACATAACTATTATAAAGTGGAGAGTAGCCATTCCGAAAGAAAACTGGAGAGAGGTTCAGTTCATGGAATCAGAGCCAGAGATTGGCCCCCTAGGCCAGTTTCACGCAGGACAGAAAATGGTCACCCTTATCGAAGGTCTGAATCAGATTCAAAACATGAGGACAAAACTAAGCACTTACCTTCACGGCCAGTTTCGAAGATGGTTTCGAAGGTGGAAAGGGGCAGTTCAGCGTCTGAATCAGCAAGTTCATGGGTACCTAATGCAAAACAAACCTAGAGAATTGCCTGTTCGAGGAGATGTTGTAAACCAAGGCAGGATGATCAGGCCTCCTATGGTAGCTCCAAATAGTTGGGTGCTGCTTAAACACCCAAAGACGAAGGAACCAGGAATGGTCCCAGTCATCTCAAGGTCACAAAGAAGAAAAATTTAGCGCAGGTACACCCAATACCAGAGAGATCTGAAGGAAAGTGGAGAAAATTCTTCACCAGTCAAAATGGAAGGAAGGAAGAACCCAAAGTCAGACCACGCTCCAAAGCCGGTTCCACAGAGCAAAGTGGTCTGCAGCCGAGAACAATTGGCTAAGGTTCATGCCGAACTAACAGCCAGAGAGAAGTCTAGTCTTGTTAGATTGGAGAAGACCCTGATGGAGACAGATAGCGAGACCGAAGAAGAGAGTAACGTAAGCCAGAAGAAAGAGGTTGTGGAGGAAGAGATGTTCGAAGCCTTCATGGCTGAGCAAACGTTTCTGGCCGAAGAACCAGTTGAGAAAGATCCTTCGAATGGATCAGTTAGCAATGAAATACCAGAATGCATCATGCAGGATGTTTCTGAGGGAGTCGACCAAAGTAACCAAGAGGGGGAACAAGTACAGCCAGCCATCCAGTTTGGCTCGTTTCCCCCAGTCTTAGTGAACATGGTACACATACTACCACAGGAATTCCGAGCTGGAGATGAAAACCAAGAGGGGCAGGAAGCTGATCCAGTTCAGATTTCTAGTGAAGACTCGCAAGCAAGCATGGTGCAAGATAACTTCGAAATGGTTACACCGATGGAAGATGAATATGAAAGTGAGGAAGTGGTAAGCATCAATCTATCGTATCCATTCGAGTACCCCTCAGATTCGATGACGCAGCACGTCAGGCCTTTGTACATCAAGGCTTTCTTTGATGGAATACAGCTGAACCGAGTCCTGATAGATAATGGGGCAGCAGTAAACCTACTCCCGAAATCTTCTTTGAAGAAACTAGGAAAAAAGAATCCCAGGTTGATACCAACCAGCACAACCATTGCTGGTTTTGCTGGAGATAAGCAAATGGCTCAGGGGATCCTTCCCATTAATTTAAGTGTGGGAACCAGGGATTGTATGACAGCATTCTTCGTAATCGACAGTACTGCTAAATACAATGCTTTGCTTGGAAGGGATTGGATCCACACTAACAAATGTGTGCCTTCTTCTTTACATCAGAAAATCATGATGGCTCTAGGCAATGGAGAGACAGAGGAAATCGATGCAGATCCTCAACCCTTCATAGCCTGTGCAGACTTTGCGGAGGCTAAATTGTATATGGAGGGAGTAACACCTCTCAGTATACTGATGAAAGATGACAGCTCAGCCGAAGTGACGGCTGATGAGGAGGTGACACACCTGAAGCACTTAGTCCAAAAAGGTGCTGATGAAGAGGTTGTCCTTAGAGATGACAATGATGCCTGGTTATAGGCAAAGAGAGGAACCGCAAGAAGCCAAGTCCTTGGCTTTGATTAAATTTTCAGCATTGGACATAAAAGCAATAGATGCAGAGAATGTGCCCCAGGTGCAGACTCAGTTACAAGTGGTTGAAGGGGCTCCCAACTGATGGGAAGCAATACTACAGGGATGTTCAGAGACGTCCTAAGTCAACCAATGCTTACAACAAAAGGCCGTATCCGGCTAGTGATAGGCAGAGACCACCAGTGGTTGAGCCTGTGGTAAGGAATTGGACCGTCCACTATGCCATTTATTCAACCAACAAATCCATGGGATGGTTTAGTAAATGCCATGGGACAACAATTAATGAACACAATGGAAATGTCATTAGTGGAACATAGGCTCCCCATGAAGCCTAATTTCAAGCCTTACAAGCAGAAACCAAGGAGGATGAGTCCAGAAGTAATTCAGAAGGTCAAGGAAGAGATCCTCAGACTACTCAAGGCAGGTTTTATTAGGACAGCCAGGTATGTTGAGTGGCTATCTAATATTGTGCCTGTAGTCAAGAAGAATGGCAAAATGAGGGTATGTGTCGATTTCAGAAATTTAAATCTGGCAACTCCCAAAGATGAGTACCCTATGCCTATAGTGGATTTGCTGGTGGACAGTTCAGCGGGTCACCAAGTCTTGTCAATGATGGATGGGCATTCCGGCTATAACCAAATCTGCATTGCAGAGGAAGATATCCACAAGACAGCGTTCAGATGTCCTGGGAATATTGGCACCTTTGAATGGGTTAAAATGCCATTTGGTCTGAAGAATGCTGGAGCTACATACCAAAGAGCCATGAACACTATCTTTCATGATCTTATTGGTGGATATCTGGAATGTTATATTGATGACATTGTAGTTAAATCCCAATCCATGGAAGAGCACCTGTTTCACTTAGAAGCAGCTTTTGAAAGAATGAGGAAGTTCAAATTAAAGCTCAATCCTCTTGAATGTGCTTTTGGTGTATCATCTGGAAATTTCTTGGGTTATGTTGTTCACAAGAAAGGAATACAGATTGATCAGAATAAAGCCAAAGCAATCATTGAAGCCAAACCCCCATCAAGTAAGAAAGATTACAAAGGTTCCTTGGGCAGGTTAACTTTCTTCGAAGGTTCATTTCTAACACTGCAGGGAAAACTAAAGTATTTTCTTCCTTGTTAAGGCTGAAAGATGAAGAGGAATTTGTGTGGACAGCAGAGCATCAAATTGCTTTCGAAGGTATCAAGGCCTACTTGGCTAACCCTCCAGTGCTGATGCCACCAAAGGGGAACAAGCCCTTGAAGTTATACATAGCTGCAGCAGAGGATTCATTGGGGGCTTTCTTAGCCCAAGACAATGAAGGAGGCAAGGAGCAAGCTATTTATTACCTTAGTAGGTTTTTAAATTCTTGTGAATGTAAATATTCAGTTGTTGAAAAGCTGTGTCTTGCTTTGTATTTTGCTGCAATAAAATTAAGATATTATCTTTTGCCTACAACTGTCTTGGTAATTGCAACCACAGATTTGGTTAAATATATGTTATCTAGACCAATGTTGAGGGAAAGAATTGGCAAATGGATACTTGCCTTATTAGAATTTCATCTAGAATATATCCCTCAAAGGGCAGTAAAAGGGTAGGTTTTAGCCAACTTTTTGGCAGATCATCCATCTCAAACTGAGAGCCAGGAGATAATGGAACTTGGTATGACCAGTGTTGAGCCATGGCAAATGTGGTTCGATGGGTCGAAAGCAAATGGGTTAATTGGAATTGGTATTGTAATCAAGTCTCCACAGGGGACAGAAACTACCCATGGTTTTAGAGTGGATGAAGCTACCTGTTCCAATAACCAGGCTGAATATGAAGCCTTAATTATGGGACTAGAGATTCTTATTGGATTACAAGTACATGTAGTTGACATATTTGGAGATTCTCAATTGGTGGTTAACCAAGTGAAAGGAATTTTCAAATGTCAAAGCATAAGTTTCCTGCCATATTATGTTGTTGCATTACATTTGCTTTCTCAGTTTCAAATAGTAAATATAACTCATGTTCCAAGATTCTTGAACATTAGAGCTAATGATGTGGCTCAAAAGGCTTCGAACTTCAAGAGAAAGGATAATTCTCAAAGGGACATAAGTCAGACAACATACCAGAAATTAATACAACCTTTGAATAAAAGGAATATGGTCTTGGAAGCCAACCATAATGACTTACAAGAACAATATTGGAGGCATCCAATAATGCAATATTTAGCTGGTCCATCTTTGAAGGCCAGCAGGAAGGTCAAATTGTAGTCCATGCAATATATGATATATGGTAATGCTCTTTACAAAAGAGGGGGAGATGGCTTATTGCTGGAGTGTTTGGGCCCAAAAGAAGCATTAACAGCCATGGCTGAGGTTCATGAAGGCATCTGTGGCGCTCATCAGCCTGGTGTAAAGATGAGATGGTTGTTTCGAAGGCATTCCTATTATTGGCCAACCATTCTTAAGGACTGCATCGAATATGCAAAAGGTTGCCAGGCATGCCAAAAACATGGCGCAATAAGGCATGTGCCCATAACTGACTTATATGCAGTAGTGAAGCCTTGGCCATTCAGAGGATGGGCCATGGATATGATTGGCAAAATACGCCCACCTTCTTCGAAACATCATTGTTTCATTCTGGTGGCCACTAATTACTTCACTAAGTGGGTTGAAGCCAAGCCATATAAGGCTGTAGATCAAACAGAGGTCATTGGGTTCATTAAAGACTTGATCCATAGATTTGGCATCCCACAAACCATAACTATAGACAATGGGACTGTGTTTGATGGGAAGATGGTGAGATCTTTTGTGGCAGAATTTGGAATTAGTCTTGTTAATTCCACACCCTATTATGCACAAGCTAATGGTCAAGCTGAGTCATCCAATAAGTCCTTGAAAAAAGGAATACAAAAGGTTGTGGATGACAATCCCAGGGATTGGCATAACCTATTATTGGATGTTCTGTGGGCATATAGAACCTCACCGAGGTCAAGCACAGGAGTCACTCCCTATGCCTTGGTGTAGTGGATCATGAGGCAGTGTCTGTACCGGAGGTAGAGAATTAAATGGGTCAAATCGTTTAAGAGGTAAGAGATCGCGAAGTGATGTCTAAGATTGAAGGTCTCGTGACAAGTTGAGCCAGCAAAGTAGTGTGGCGTGTAGATTAGAAGGTCAATGAGGTATGAAGACAGATATTTTGGCATTGAGAATAGGCGTGATGTCTTTGCGCAGAAAGGAAGGAAAGCAGCCAGAATTTGCATAAGCGAGTTAAGAGAAGTCATGTAGCAGCATTGGCGGTTTGTATGGAAGGCGTGTTGTGTAGTGGAAAGACTAAGACACCACATTGGGGAGTGAAGAAGTCCCAGTAGATGTTGCAAATGTGCGATCCTAACTGGGAGAGGACCATTATCAAAGATTCAGGTGTGAAGGAGTTCGCGTGCCGGTGTTTGGAGGCATGTACATTAAGGAGAAATTTTGAGAGTTATGTAACATCCAAAAAAATT